CCGAAAATGTCAATCTATAACAGGAGCATGGCATCGTCCCTTCAGTTCAGATCTTCAAATATTATCTGAATTCAATCCTCGATCTGATAAGTAGTGTTTGTATCCCATAAGCAAAGCCTGCATAATACCGACAAATCAAAAGATCAACACAAGCTAGCTATCTTCTTGCAGCAATTTCAGACCTGCTGTAGCAACCAGCAGCCTGACCATTGACCAACCTGACAAACGAAGGGTATATGAACTGAAATGCCTGAATTTCAAGCAAAATTCGTCTTTAATCCCCTCAAGGAACCTGATATATATGTTCTGGTCTTTGCAATTTTTTTTTGTCCTTCACTTCACATCATCCATCAAGTAGCTTGATGAATCATGAGTCAAACACACTTTTAGCTAGCTAGCTAGTTGCTTCCAGATTACCTATCATATCCGTTGATTTTTTTTGAGCAGGCTGGAGAAATCCTGATTCAACTCTGCCACAGCACATAGCACTTAATTACTGCCTGATTGTCCAATCAACCTCATGTAAAAAACCTAGCTTTCCACTTGCAAGAATATCAGCAGATACTCATGTCATCGAGGCGCTAATCGTGCACTGACTGATGCGTCGCTTCAGAGGAAGAAAACTGCAAAGCTCGTGCTTGCCTGCCTGCATGTCAAGGCGACACATCTTAATATGGACCTTATCGTTTTATCACAATTCACAATCCTATCATTTTGACAATGGGAAAGTTTTCTTTTTCTGAGGGAATGTACCCTCGCTTTTTTATTTTATATACTACGATTTTTTTAGAAAAAATAACAACATTTAAATTAATATGTGACATACCACTCGATAAACAAGTACAAATTTAACTTTACAGATTATAACAAATAATAATAAATATAAATTTGAATGCCCATACTAACTCTGGGCCTGTTCGGTGGCTGCAGTCGCTGCAACAGTACACACGTTGTTCAGATCGCTATGATGCAGCGGCAGTGCTGCGTTGCAGCCGCAGCCACGGGCTGCCGAACACAGCCTCTATTTGTTCCTTTTATTACAACCCATCGAAGTTAAATTTAATCTTAATATGTTTGTGCAATTATATATCTCATATTAATTTATCTTAACATTTGAAAAAGTTAGTAACAACTCTTTTGAGTCGTCGTGAAAGGCAGCAACAACCTAACAGTGACGTACGTGCAAAACCACGGTACAGTTATCAGCTATAGCAACGAAAGAAACCAAAACCCCTGCAGCTGAAAAGGACCATAATATTTTGCAGAAGATTCGCAGGTTTCTGTCAAACTATTTGGTGTTGAATTGACACACAGTACACGAAGTCATTATCCAAGCATACCACCATTGACTTGACCACAGATTGAGATGCATAGCTTAGATTTTAATATTATATAACACAATTATTTTTTGAAACTTTGATCAGAAATATTTTGTTAAATTATTTAGTAACGTGAAGTAAAAAAATATTATCACATTGTCATGCTAATTTAAAACGTGTATGCTTGTTTGTTTTCTTCAATATTTTTAAGAAAAACGAATGGTCAAACAAACTATAAAAGTTAACTGTATTATATATATTAAAAAAGTGTGTATTGGAAAATATGGTAGTAATATACTCCTTTTGTTTGATGTTGTGATGTTGGTTAGCTCAAAATTGAACTAACAGTGCGTATTAAATGTTTGGAAATGGAAGGAGTATTAGGTTCGGACAAAATTAGGTTGTGCTCAGGGACAAGACGGTCCCAATCACTGGGAGGAAATTTAACAGTGCTCCGGCTTTGAAATGTGTGCATATATATGTTGGTCGATGACGTGGCGTACGTGCAAAGTTGCTTCTCTGCCGAATTAACCGGCATGTTAGGCAGCCGTTGTGGCGCCACCTTGGCCGGCCATGTTGGTGCCGTGCTGCTCCGACAATATAGTTGCTTATGTAAATTTGGTTGCAGATGTGTCAAATTGCTTGTGGGATATGAAAACTTATAACCCCTAATTAAACTACCACTAGTAAGTAAGTGTGCACGTACAAAGCACGTCATACTTCTCATCGTCTGCTTTGTTAACTTATTGTCATAGCTTATACTCGTTTCGGTTTCAAATTAATTATTATCATATTTTAGATTTGTCTGATCAGATCATTAATTCTTAGGAATGTATGTATAATTTAACAACATATGATTTATGTATTATTATGAAGGTATTTCTTTACGATGAAGCTAAAAGTATAAAATTTTGTAATATTAGACCATATGAGTGCATAGAAATTAATGGTCAAAGATTGAAATATTTGATTCAGAACAAATTAACCTAGAATGCAAGTAATCTGAATTAGATGGAGTACTCAAATTTTGAAATTTAATTAATATAAATTTGATTTTAGTTTCCTTTTTTTCATCATATTCTATTTTTTCGTAACTGTAGCTTATAAGTCGAGTACATATAATAAACTGATGAAAAAGAATTCCTCACGATAGCTTATAAGTCAACAACATATTATAATTGAATTGATAAAAATAATTTTAGGGTACCACAAAATTATCACCGTTGAGGATTTTATATTTACATATTCTTAGCTGTTCTAAAGCCAAACCTGCGAGTGAAAAGAAAACTTTGAATTAAATTCTAAAATGATGGGGACGTATTGAGGGTGGTCGACTGAACTTGGATCTCATTAATTTGCATGCATTCCTAATTATTGGACAGTTATATGTCCGACCAACATTTTACTGATGTACTAGGCGTGCTACAAAGAGTTGTGGCTGATCATGTAGTTAATTGATGGCTTAATATTTGGCTTTAATATGAAGGAGAAATGGAACAATAATTCTTCGTCCGAAACATATATCAAATGAAATTTGCTGAGCAGAGATTAAATCAATACTTACATGGCATGTTTTACTGCATTATTATCATACTTCTTCCTTTTCTAATTTTTATATTAGAAGTCGTTTGATTTTTTTTCTTAGTCAAGCTATAAGTTTATAGAAAAATATACTAATAATTTTAATAAAAAGTATATTATTAAAATATTCAACATTAACTTAATAAAACTAATTTGGTGCTGTAAATATTATTAAATTTTTTAATAAATTTAATCAAATCTAAAAATTTGAATAAGAAAAAAAATCAAATGATTTATAATATAAAACAGAGAGTACTTAATTATTCTTTTTTACAGGAAACACAGCAGGAGATACTCCTACCGTGATGCATTGCAAAAGACAGAGAGTGTTTACGAGAGACTGTAGGGTACTTAATTATGTCCAACAGCCACCTACCAACACGAGGGGGGTTAAATCACTGACGCATACGCAACGTACTGTTTGCATTTCTTAGAGTATAAACAGTACTGTTTCAATTAGCACCGCTGTTTCTTGAATCTTACAGGCACTGTCACTGTGTAGTACTCCATTATGAAAATTAAGAAGTTTGGTGTCAGTTAACAAAGCAAGTTCAACATTTAATTAATTTCCTGCGACGAGCCAAAGCAAAGTAAGTACAAAAGCAAACTGAGTACATTTAATTTTTTTTCACCACACATATCGGATGAGCCACAAATTAAAGCGGATAAACTGCACCTAGGGCAAGCGTGGAGACTGAAAACATAATTCTTTTCTATCTATACGAATAGATCGAAAACATATTCGCTTTGTAGGTCTAAAATTACTCAGCATCAGTCATTCAATTTTTTTTCTCTGTGGACCGTGGAGAAAGCTGGAGAAAAATATATTGTAAACCGTTAGACAGATTTTGATGAAACCAAATTATAACAGTGTAAATCGATAATAATAGTTGTATACAAAATATAATTATGTATATATAGAATTAGAATTGTATATTAAATTTAAAGTTAGTTTTAATATATGTTGTAAATAGACACATCTAAATAGACGTATAACAAGTCCAATCTTACAATCTCACGCAAAATTACGCAGAAAAATCCCCTAGTTGTTTTTCATTACAAACAATTAAGCAAATGAACTTCTTTACTGCTTGATCTTCTTAGATCTGCAAGGAAATTAAAAATTCTACTATCATTAGTCAGCTCGACTTATCGTGAGTGTTTGTGATTATATCTGAAATGATATGGTTGCACCTCGTCAGCGATAGATTCATGCTTGTTGCATGTATGCAGTCTCCATCTCTTTCTTGTGGTACTCATACATTTTTCTTCCAAGCACGCTAACAAACTCCTTTGGCTGCATGCTGCATCTATCTCAAGTTCTCAACCCAAAAATGCCAACTTTGGCACGCAAATCACGCACAAATCATTGGCCACCACCGTGTATAATGATTATTTAGTTATATGGAGTGTAGAAACACCCACATAATTCCAGATGACACGTGGTATACAAGTTCAGGTTAAGTTATTCAGAGGAAAAAGTTCAAGCAGTACCTGCTCTGTTGTTTCACATGTACCAATCAGAGACCAAACCTGCTGCGATTTCTCACAATTCGGCAGCTGTTGATTGTGCCTACTGCCTAGATAGAACTTAACATCTTAACGGTATTTTGACCTGTATGTGCTGGCCTAATCAATAGCATTCATCCATCAACTGAAGAACAAAGAGGCCATTCATGGTTCAGAGTTCAGACTGAACCTGCAGGCCAGGTAGCTAGTACTAATGTACAAGTGCTTGTACATGTGAGAAGCTGGTATACCGACTGCTTGCACATGTGGCGACAATGTAACCGTCAGATTGAACAAAAATTGAAGCCGATCACACCTACTGTAGTTCTACAGTCCCTTTCTTCCCTGCCATGAATATACATGTACTATGGCTACTAGCTCATGCTGGACGGTTCTCAATGAGATCAAGACATCTAGTGTGCGATCTATGACCAAATATCTAACATGCTATCCTGAATAAGAAAGTAAACTGTGCATTATTTATTTCAGAGTTTGTTACTAAAGGAGAAGGACAGCCATGTAGGCATGCATGCCATGCATATGGTCCCTGAAAATTAAGTACTAGTAATAAGTATGGAACTTTCACCTATCTATCTATCTAGCTCTTTCATGCATGATCAGGCAGGAAATCCAAGTGTTGTCTTGTCCTATAAAAGAAGGGACCATTGATCTACCTCTCCACAATTCAATCCATTTCTTCCTCTACCATACTATACCTAGCTTGCCACCAACAACAGTACACCATGCCCAAGAAGAAGCTGTCACATAGGCTGTTCTCTGCCTTGGTATCCCTACTCCTTCATGGGAAGCCTATCTCTAGATCATCATCCAACACCAACACCACATTGCCACACCCTTCCTTGCTGCACAAGTCCTCCTCAAGCTTCCCTCCCATGGAGAAGCTCGCCGCGAAAACCCTAGTACTCGACGTCGAAGGCGGTTTGCTTAGATCATCCTCCTTGTTCCCCTACTTCATGCTTGTGGCACTAGAGGCAGGAGGGTTCTTGAGGGGCCTTGTGCTCCTCCTCCTCTACCCATTGCTATGTGTCATGGGAAGTGACATGGCCTTGAAGGTCATGGCAATGGTGTCCTTCTGCGGTTTACGGGCAAGCCGGTTTCGGGCCGGGCGAGCCGTGCTTCCCAAGTGGTTCCTTGAGGATGTTGGGGAGGAAGGGTTTGATGTGATGAGGAGTGCCATGAGGAGGGTGTGTGTGACAAAGATGCCTAGGATCATGGTTGAAGGGTTCTTGAAGGAGTACTTGGAGGTTGAGGTTGTTTCAGGTAGGGAGATGAAGGTGATTTGGGGGTTCTTCACTGGCATCATGGAGGAGGAAGAAGGTGGTGATCAAGAGGAGGTGTTGCTTGAGGAGAAGAAAATGTTGGTTGATGTTGTGGGCTTCTCTACCTCCTTGGAGTTCCTCCAACATCATCTCTCACATTGTTGCAAGGTATAATATGTCATAAGTAATTAATTCAACATGTAAAATTTGCATGTTTGTGTTAATTCTTATACTTTGTTATATATATATATATATATATATATATATATATATATATATATATATATATATATATATATATATATATATATATATATATATATTTGACTTAACTTGCATGTGAGTTTAGATCACCTAGCTAAGGTAGCTAGTTTTACATGTATAAACTCCCCTTTTTGGTTTGTGTGATTTAGCTAGTTCAGGTATTAGACATGCATGTAATACGCGTGATTGGATTGAAACAACGTATATAATATCTGCATATTTACACCTGAAAGTAAAATTAGATGTAATAGTTAATTACGTGCACGACGTCTTTTCAACGGCCGGTCTCATGCTGATCGTGCAATCATTGATCATATATACATACTTTTTTTCCTCTTTTTATGTATTCTTTTTGTATCTCATCATGTGAGACCAACAAAAGCATAATATCTGTTACTGTTAGACGGCCACTCATTAATTTTCCCAGAAAGAATGTGACCTTTACCATCAAGTCACAGGTTTTACCCCTTTTCCCAAACTCCCCAGCACTTTCCCGTGTCAATTAAATTTAAGAATATTTTGATAGTCCTCCAAAAAAATAGAGAATATTTTGATAGAAATAGAGAATTTTCCTCATGTGAAGTAGTACTGTATAGTGCATACACAACATTTCGTCAAATCTCTAATTAATCTGACCATTTAATCACACATGCAACAGTTTCGTTCCCACGTTATAAAATTTGAGATCTGAATTACTGTGTATGCATTTCATCTTGTCAAATCTGTAATTAATTCGACCATTTAATTATACAACAGTTTCGTGTTCCCACGTTAATTAAATTTGATCAGAACAATTTGATACAACTAATACTACTATTTTCAAAATTAATTCCCCTCATGTGCATTGCTGTATGCATTCCATCTTGTCAAATCTGTAATTAAATTGACCATTTAATCACACAACAGTTCCATTCCCCACGTTAATTAAATTTGAGAACAATTTGAGATACAACCAATACCACTATTTTCAAATTAATTTCCCTCATGTGAATTACTGTATGCATTCCATTCCATTCCATTTCATTTTATTTCCCCAACCACTTTTGAGATTTGCTAGCAGCATAGTGTGGTGCCACCCCCTCCCTCTTGTTTGTTGGAGTAGTTTTTTTTTTCGCAGTAGTCCTTTTCTTTTCGCAATTGGTTGTTGCAGTGATTTTTTTTTTACTCTCTTCCAGCATACGTATGTCTAGCCGATTGCGTTGTGTATCAAAACCTCTATTTCTTACTAATATATTGACGTACAATCCTTTTACGTATTCGCAAAAAATCTGTATTTAATTTGACAAGTTAATTATTAATTACTCACTCACACAACACAGGAGGTGTACCTGGTGACACGTGAGGAGAAGGCGAGGTGGTCGGCGCTGCCGCGCGACAAGTACCCGAAGCCGATGGTGTTCCACGACGGCCGCCTCGCGTTCCGGCCAGCCGCCGGCGACACGCTCGCCATGTTCACCTGGCTCCCCTTCGGCGCCGCCCTCGCCGTCGCCCGCCTCGCCGTCGCGCTCGCCGTGCCGTACAGGTACTCGACGCCGATCCTGGCCGCCACGGGCTTGTCGTGGCGCCTCAAGGGCGAGGCCCCCACGCCGCTCGCCGGCGCCGGCGACGGCGCGCGCCGGCGCGGGCAGCTGTTCGTGTGCAACCACCGGACGCTGATCGACCCGGTGTACGTGTCGGTGGCGCTGGACCGCCCCGTGCGCGCCGTGTCGTACAGCCTGAGCCGGCTGTCGGAGCTGATCTCGCCGATCGGGCGGACGGTGCGGCTGACGCGGGACCGCGACAGCGACGGGCGCGCCATGGCGCGGCTCCTCGACGGCGGCGACCTCGTCGTCGTCTGCCCCGAGGGGACGACGTGCCGGGAGCCGTGCCTGCTCCGGTTCAGCCCGCTGTTCGCGGAGCTGAGCGACGACGTGGTCCCCGTCGGGATCGCCGTCGACACGGCGATGTTCTACGCGACGACGGCCGGCGGGCTCAAGTGCCTGGACCCGCTCTACTACATCGCCAACCCGAGGACGTGCTACGCCGTGCAGTTCCTGGAGAGGGTGGACACGTCGCCGGCGAGGGAGCGGAGGGCGCCGTCCACCGACGTGGCCAACCTCGTGCAGAGGAGGATGGGCGACGCGCTCGGCTACCGCTGCACCATGCTCACCAGGAAGGACAAGTACCTCATGCTCGCCGGCAACGATGGCGTCGTCAACACCACCCAAGACAACCACTCTGCTCCGGGGAAGAAGAAGATGCAATAATTATGAATTAGATTAGCCAAAAAAGTTCTCAAAAAAGTTCTAGATAGATTTCGGTTGTTCTTTTATCTTTTTAATTATTTTTTTATGTTGCTGGGTAGTTTAATTTGGTGTGTGTTTATACTGTATTTCATTCTTGCTTCAGTTTGGCTGGTGTGTTCATCAGGTTGATTTCTTCTGTGTGTTTTAATCAAATTAATGATTGTATAGAAACAACAAGAAGCTGGCACCATCAAGGAGCTTGTAGAGAAAGTACTACTACGTGTGTGAATTAATTAGTGCATTTAATTTGTTAGGTATGCTCGACCATTGTTGCAATTTGCTTGTTTTAAAAAAAATCTATGTATATTTTCTTAGGGCATATTCAAAGATAGAGTCTGATATAGTCTTTTAGTTTATTTGTAGACTATGATTTTATAACCATTGAGATAACAAAGGCTATAATAATTAGTGAACTAAGATAAGTTTTTATTATCTTTCTTTTCTCTTCCCCAAGCAAAGTTTCTTTTTATAAATGCTAAGAATTGATGTTAAGTCATTGTTAAGCTTAGAGCAAGTTTAATAGTATAGCCAGCTACTAGCTCCAAATCATCTATAGTCAATTTAATAGTTAATTCATACAATAGTTACCTATGAATATATATACTATATTATTAATACCTGGTCCCACCTGTCATACAAACATTGCCATCTTGAAGTTAGTGCTACAGCTGGCTATAAATCTGTAGTCTGCTGCTCACCTCTCTCCTCATTTATCTCCTCGAAATATGTTTATAGTTTTGGCTTATAGTCCGCTATTGTACCTACTCTTAGTATGTTTCTCTCTCTCTCCTTCCTCCTCTTTTTTCTACTACCTATGTTCTAAAATAAGTTTATTTTTTTATCCATTACACACATATCAATACAAAAGAAAAGGACTAGAATACACCTACTTTATCAAATCCTAATGTAACCATTCATCATTTTATCCACCTCTAAATACAATTATTTTCTACATTTACAAATTCCGATGCATTGATTACTCTAAAAATAAACTTAATGTGGGACAGAGTAAGTATATCAGCAAACTTACCTTGTTACCTACTCAAAGAACCTGCTATTAATTATTGTACATACTCTGACATCCTATTAAATGAAAGTGAATATGGGAATCATAGACTTGCTGTCTCTCTGAAGAAAATCCCAAAAGGAGAAAATGGAGCATCTTGGACTTGTAGTACCACAAATTTTGGGTAAACATATAATGGAAAGTGATCTAGGAGTACCATTTATCAACTATTTATTGTTCATTATGAAGACTGGCATATCCTAGCTGAAAGATAAAATTTTTGGAAGTTTGAACATTACTCCTGTCTGTTGGAAGAAATATGCAATCTATCATGGGTCCATTCCATGAAGATGACATAATAGAGAAGCAACAATGCAATCCACATGCCACTATCTCATTTAATAAAACATTTATACTAGAATATGTAAACCAGCACAAAACATAATAAACTGTCGCTCTTAATTTTGAAAGGATCATAATCTTCTGTACTGTCTAAATTGAAGACATGAAAATGCCATTATGTATTTTATTCAAGTATTTAAAATGGCCATCATGAACTTAAAAAGGAATCAGAAAAGGCTTTCATGATCTTCTATACGGTCTAAATTAAAGACATGAAAAGACCATTATGTATTTTATTCAAGTATTTTAAATAGCCAGGATGAACATTAAAAGGAATCAGAAAAGCTGAAAAGGCTTCAGGCAAGTGAAAAAGTGTCTAAATTAAAGACATGAAAAGACCATTATGTATTTTATTCAAGTATTTAAAATGGACAGGATGAACTTTAAAAGGAATCAGAAAAGGTTTCAGGCAAGTGAAAAAGGAAGAACCATGCAAATAATTGCGTTTGCCGGGAGTCGAACCCGGGTCTATTGCTTGGAAGGCAATTATGCTAACCGTTGGACTACAAACGCTATTTGTCAGTTATTAATCAAATTTATTAATGTTCAAAGCTAAGCACAACGTGTGACACTACTAATCATTGTCAGGCAATTATCTATGGTGCCTAACAAAAAGACGGTGGAAGCGATTAATGGATCATAACTTCATAAGGATCGTTGCACAATCATTTTCTAGCATAAAACTAATTAATCAAGAACCTCTCACTGTCATGACATTCATGCATAGATTGACGCCTATCTCAGAGGGAAAGGAAGTAAATGTATCACACTCTATCTCAAGCAAACAACGACCCCAATGAAAACAGCGGCCATCGACCCATGCATTCGACGTCGATCGTCGACCTGCAATGCACACTGATCTGCTTTGCTTGGTTGCGTTCATGTCGGCTCAGAGTTCATCAGCCTACGATGCTTGAGCTTCCTGATCATGGTGGACTCTGCCTGCCCCTGCTAATTCCGGTGACCACGTAGTACAACGAACAGGAGTCTACTTGACTTGTAGTAGTAGTGCTGTGCATTCAAAGTTCAGTAGTTGAGGTGAGCATTTCAGCACCAGCCATCACATCTCCATTAGCCCATACGCTGCAAAGCAATCTATCATCATGGGCCATGAATCTATAATCATGGACCATGATCTATGAACAAAGTGGTAGTTACGTACTAGTAGTACTGTATTAATGCACCGCCGAGTTGTACGCACTTACGAGGGGAGAGAACAAAAATGTGATGTCATGTTTAATTCGTCTACATCTTGGTCGCCGTCTGATCTCCTCATGATCTGAAAAAAAAAGCTGGTGATCAGGATTGGATCACATGCTACCTACCAACAGAATAAAGGTTCAGCACAGGAACGGACCCCCACAAGAGAGGCCCTGATCGAATTCTGAACCAGGGGAACAGTTATGTTCAGTACCATGTTATTACTGTTGCAGCACGAGCTCCTTCGATCCCCAAATGTACTTATGTACTATACATGTGTGCTCAGCTTGCGTGCCCACACTGAACTGGTAGAATCAGATCTCCAAAACTTGTAGTCTAGTGTAATGGACAGACCAAATCTGAGTAGCAAACCTTTGATGAAACCAGTTGTTTCTTGCTCGTACTGTCTCCTTTCGGTGATTGAACTGCCAGGACCACCACGGCGCTCGTCCAGGATAATTGAACTGCCGCGCTTCTGCTGCGACCCTGCATGAAAAAGCAAAATGTTTTGTACTGAATCAGTAATTACGGTGAGTTGTACCGTGGAAACTTTAACTGCAGACTTAACACTAATTAAGTTCAGATTTTTAGTTTCAGATATCCATAACATAGCCAGGAAGAGCATCCACAAGATCAGCTCTTTGGTGTAGTAGTAACAGATTTAATCATTTTTCTAGGAACACATGGAAGACTTTGCATATAATTGCATTAATTTTCTCAAGGAGAGAATAGGAGGAAAAAAACATGGAGAAGTCATAAAAACAATCGAGTTCTTTGTTCAAGCCACCCGTCAGATTGCCAAGGGATCATGATAGCCTGGAGGATTTGAATTTCATATCCCAAGTGCCAGACGCAAATGTAGAAGAGAGCAGAAATTAAACAAGATGTGTGGGATGCAAGGAACAAGGCTAGCTAAGACACAATGATTTAATCATGGACAACAAGCATTCTGTTGAATTCCCTGGGCAACTGCTCCCAGGACAGACTCAATTAAGTTGCAAGGAAATGTAGTTGAGATCTGGATAGGAATGGCATGGTTCATGTCAATTATTGATCAGTTCCTTCATTTTAGTGTATCCGTGGAGTAGTATGCAAGTTGCAGCCGCAGCAAGCCATCAACAGTAGATGAGAATAAGGTGGTTCGAACTGTGACATTCTTGTGAGGACAAATTTCAAAATCAGGCCACACAGTTTCTCAAGCAATTTGATTGCACGCATTAATTTAGGTGTCCATGTCCTCTTATTCACTGTATGTAAATCCCATCAAGCATATATACGGCGGATTCGACCAACAGTACAACTATACTGCAGATACAGCCTGCCAATACTGCAGACACAGCCTGCTACAGAATCACTGTCCATGCCACTGTATAGATAGGATGACTTCCAACAACCCAACAACTAAATGAAGACATATGTGAATGTGAGCTCTAAAAAAATTGAATTAGTTGTGTTAAGATGTTTACTTGATTATATTAACAACTGATGGTCATTACATAAGCAACAAAAGGTGGCTGAGACATACTTACAGAGATCACCAAAGAGATGATTATACTATATATCAGAGCTGTCACTCATCCAGTGGTTTCATCCAGTTGCGTCTCACCTCAGAGCTAGGGTCCGAAATCAAATTAGCATAATCTTGATCTATGTGTCAGTTAACACTTCCCCAGGATATAATTTTTGTAAATCCTAAAAGGATTCGTGCAGCCAAGTACCATCGAAGGTTCCAAACAAGCATCAATGCTACTAGAGGTGTTAACTGCTGATCCTTGCTGCAGACGAAAAAAAAAGAACAGATTAGTCTCAGAAATACTTTTTGAGGCTGTAGAGAATTGAGAGACACCAACCACAACATGAAAAGAAGACCAGTATGATACCATGAATCAGTGTGACAACATTGTCCAAAAGCAAAAGATGTGGTCAACATTATCCCATTGTTGTCATTGCACCGACTCTACTATGAAATCTGACAAAGACACCAATTGTGGAAAAGAACCATGCAATCAGCTGATCAATTTCTCCCATCTGACACTACTTGTCAATGCACCAAGTATGGAACATAAAAATCAATGTACTGGAAAGTGGAAACAGAACTAAAGGCACTCACATATGCGCAGTAATGACAATCACTGTTCCCATGCAAAGGGAGATAGGAGTTAATTTCTCATCTTTATCATTTTTTGTTCTGTGTCCTTTGGGGTGTGGAAGGATCTTCTGTAGGCATGCTCAAACTTAAACATTGAACCAATAGCCCATTTGTGGACGACTATCTCACCAAAAATCTGAACAAGAACATGATCCTACTTTGAAGTGGTGAAACCTATATGGGTCTCTCAACACAATTTCCCTATTAAAAACCATGCTAACCAGCTTAAATACCAGATGACAGTCTGAACAGACTCTGAGATTCTTGAATATTCTTACTGTAGATCCTTCTGGGACAACGATAAGGCCATATGCCAACGCAAGTTTCTCACTATGGTTCCAAAGGTTCTGCTCCTTCTGCTCTTCATCTGTATCATGCAGTGCAGATGATGTGTCAGCAATATAACCTACTTCCCTGAGTTTCAGCAACATTTCATCTAACTTTGCGTAGATCTTCTCTGCATGCTTATGACCCCGGTCACCAATACCAAAGGTGCTTACTTCATTCTTAAGCTTAAGCCAACTGCAAGCTGGTCTTTTGTTTATATTGATGGTTTTCATGTGACTTCGTAATTTGTCAACATCCGCCCATCTTGCATTTGTAGCATATAAGTTTGACAGAAGAACATAAGCTGAATCATCGAATGGATCCAATTCAAGAAGCTTTTTGGCGGTTTTCCTCCCAATTTCAAGATTTTTGTGGGTTCTACTAGAGGACAACAAACTCCGCCATATCAGATCATTTGGTAAGACTGGCATTTCTTCAATAAATTTCTCTGCCTCTGCAAACCGACCTAAGCGTCCGAGAAGATCCACTATGCATACACAATGTTTTATTCCAGGGGAAACACCAAAGGAAGAAGCCATAGAGTTATAGTAATCTATACCCTTGTCTACTAGACCAGCATGACTACAAGCTGAGAGTAGAGCAACAAACGTTACATAGTCTGGCTTTCTACCCGTTGCAACCATTTGCTTAAATGTTTCCTCAGCTTCCTTGAAATACCCATATTTTGCATAACCAGATATCAGCGTATTCCAGCATTGTTGAGGTCGAATGGCTTGGTCAGGAACCACTTGCAACATTTCATCCATCTTTCCACATTTCCCATACATATCCATTGCAGCATTAACAACGTATGAGTCTGAATCCAGCCCAGATTTCATACCAAGACCATGTAGCTGCATGCCTTCTTCTAATGATGCGAGGCTTGCACAGGATGACAGACATTCAGCTAGGCAAACACGATCAAGTTTGTTTCCAGCATGCTGCATATCAATGAAGAGCTTTAGAGCTTCCTCTCCATGGCCAAGTTGGACATTCGCTGCTATTATGGCATTCCATGAAACAATGTTTTTGTTGGTGATACTATTGAATATATTAGTGCTTGACTCTAAATTGCCACATTTTGCATACATTGTGATTAGAGAGTTAGCAACATACTCATCTGACAAAAATCCAGTGCGTATTATGTATGCATGTAAGGGCCTTCCATAATTATGCAGATCATTTGAAGATGCGAAAGAACCATGGATATTTATCATTGTAATGTAATTTGGCTTTATCCCTGCACTTCTCATCCAAGAAAATACTTGCATTGCCTTTGTACCATCCTCAAGTACTGCGTAGCCACCAATAAGTACATTGTAGCTGACAATATCATGAGTCGGCATGGACTGAAAAACTTTCTCAGCATCTTCCATAGAATTGCATTTCCCATACATCGTGATGAGAGAATTACCAACCAGTAGATTTCTCTGAAGACTCAACTGCAATACGATGGCATGAACCATTTTGCCATCTATCAAGGCTCCTGGACTTGAACATGCTCCTAGAGCACTGGAAAATGTCAGGTGATTTGGGCTTTCATTTGTATGAAATAACTGACCTAGTGTCTTCAACGCGTCGGTGCTATTACAGTTCTGCACATAGGATGAAATCATAGTGTTCCATGATATTAGGTCCCTTCTACTCATGTTCCAGAACAGAAACTCAGCATCACTCAATTTTCCAGCAGCAGAGTACATATTAACCAGAGCATTAATTACTGTTACTGATGAATCCAGACTGCTCCTGAGACACAGGGAATGAATTCCACTTCCATGGCTGAAATGATCTGAGGAGGCACAGACAGACATCAAGCTGCACAGGGTTGTTGCATCAGGCCTTAATCCATGATGACGCATATCTGAAAACACCAGAAAACATTTGCTGCAGATTCCTTGATGTGAGTACATCGATATCATCGCGTTCCATGAAATAGTATCATGTTCCTCCATTCGATCAAAGAGCTTCTCAGCATCATGCACCCTTCCCAAGTTGCCAAACATGGTAATCAACGAATTCGCCACAGAGACCTGGTTTTGGAGTCCAGAGACAATGACCTGGGAAGCAACCTGAAGCCCAGGCACCTCATTCTCGAGCGATCCACACAAGCTGACCACTGTCGCGAACGCATTTGCATTGCATGGGACCCCATCCCTCCTCATCTGACGGTAAGCTCTCAATGCCTCTTCCAGGTAACCATTGGATGACAATGCCACCATCAGTGCTGTCCACGACACGACATTCCTCTCGGGCATCTCCCAGAACAACCTCTGCGCATCGGACACGATCCCACGGGAGCCATACAAGTGCAGGAGCGCCGTGCCGATGTAGACGTTGCCCATGAGCCCGGCCCTGTGGGTGAGCGCGTGGATGGCGGCGCCGCACGCGATGCCCTCGTCCCGGCCCCGGCGCTCGCACGCGGTGACGAGGCTGGCGAGCGCGAACCCGCTGAGCGGGACGCCACGCTCCCGCATACCGCGGAGCATCTCGAAGGCCGTCCCGTCGCGTCCGCAGCGGACGCAGCCGGAGACGGCGGTGTACCAGGTGGATGGGGTCCGGTCGGCCATTTCGTCGAACAGGTGGAGCGCGGCGGCGGCGGCGGAGGCATCCCGTTGGCGGAAGTAGAAGGCGAGGAGGGTGTTGCGGTGGAAGGCGCTGAGCGGGAGTGCGAGGCGGACGGCGAGGCCGTGGATGGCGCGGGCGAGGAGGGGGTGGTCGCCGAGGCGGGAGAAGCCGGCGCGCGGGAACTCCGCGACGGCCGGGTGCGGGTGGTCGGCGAGGAGGGCGAGAGTAGATGGAGGGCATTGTTGCGTGGAGGCGGTAGTGGTTACGCGGCAGGAGGAGGAAGTGGTGGCGAGGAGGAGGCGTGGCGGCGGCCGGTGGATGCGACGGCGGTGGATGGCCGGCGGCCGGGTGCGCCGAGGAAGGAGAGAGAGAAACAGCATCCAGAGCTTCACGGCGGCGAATTTGCGGCCTTTTGGCCCATCAAATAAGTAGAATACTGAGTAGGAATAGCCCAAAAGAATTTGGATCCATAAAGGCCCATGAATATTTGGCCCGAAAGATAAAAGGAATAAGTTCACTTTGAACCTCAAAACTAATCGAAATCTAATGGAAAAAGTACACCGAAGGTCCCTCAACTTGTCATCGAGTTACAAAATGGTCCCCTAACCGCAAAACCAGATACCGGGTGTCCCTCAACTAATAAAATCGTTAGTTTAGATCCTCCGGTGGTTTTGCTCCCGGTTTTATCTGACGTGGCGGCTGAGTCAGCGTGCAACCCACGCGGGTCCCACATGTCAGAATGTCAGGTTATCTCTCCCCTCTTCTCTTCCTTCCTCATCTCTTTCTCTGACTTCTTTCCTCTCTACAGGGCGGCTGGCGGGTGGGGAGGAGGTCCGGCGGCCACCGCCGGCGGCGACGGCGGCGGCGCATGCGACCTCGGGGTCGGACCATTTGACAGGCCCGGGAGGCGGCGGCGGCGACACGGAAGAAGGAAGGCGGCGACGGCTGCGACGCTTGAGATGGGAGAGGCGCCCGGCGGCGCCGGCGCGGGAAGAAGTTGTCTTCGGCGTCGTGCCCGCTCCGCCCGCCACCGCCTGCTCGGCTCGCCGCTGCCCCGCGCTCACACATTCCCACCGCCGACGCCGCTGACGGCGCGGGCGCGAGATCTGCGGCCGTGGACGACGATGGCGGCGGCGTCCTCGCTCTCCCCATCCCGCTCCCTGTCAGTGCCATCTTCCTCTCCCGCAGCGCGCCTGCTCGCCGCTTGTCTGCTCCGCCAGCCGGCTGCTCCCCGCACAGTCTGCGGTGGCGAAGGTGACCGTGCCAGCATCGAGGTCGTAGCCGAAAATCACCCAGGCTATATATAGCTATTAGCCAATTCTAGAGCCAAACGAGAATTCAGTTGCAAGAAGTAATTTTCTTATATCACCGCTCTCTACAAATTAAACGAACCCCACCACAAGAAGCTAGCACATATGAGCTAGCACGCAGGATCGATTGGATGATGATGATTATGGAGGTTTCTGGGAGAGCGCGGATACGATTTCATGGGCATCCTTCTCGATATATTGAACGAGATCCATGGCAGGCCGCTGTGAAACCATCTTCTTCATCCGCTCCGTCATTGATAGCAGGAATGTCTTGACAGATGATTCAAGGCTCTCAAACTGCCTGCCGACCGATTTCACAAGCCCATCCAATTCTTCCAGATCCTTCACGAGTGTTTTATTCCAAGATTAAGTTATTGCTGAACAAAGAAGAAAAAGTACCATTATATTATAAAGGATGAGATGAATTCCGAAGCGCCTTCTTCGGCGATCGTCGACTCCATTTGTGTTTTCAGCCCCTCGTACGCACGGTTGTAATACTCTCCTACCTCCTGTGCACAAGAATTTAATTGATCATGCATGCATGACAATGTATAATAAAGTACTAATTAATTAACTAACTAACATTCGCATGGTTTTTGCAGCAACCGTCCCATATATTGATTCCTGGCGCGTAGAGGTTGGTAATGCGCTAGGCCTCGAGTTTGATTATTCTTTCTTGCCTGCGGTCAGCCGGAGTGGGGGGGTGTTGCTTGCCTGGCGGACGACCGTCTGGTCTATCTCAGATGTTCACCTTGCGGATTTCTCTCTTACCGCGTTGGTTCGGCACCTTTCTGATGTTGCCCCCTGGTGGCTCTCCATCATCTATGGGACACAGGAGGAGCCTGACAAGCTTCGTTTCTTAGATGAGCTTCGTTCACTACGCTCCTCTCGCACGGGGCCGTGGGCCATCGTAGGCGATTTCAACCTCATTCTCGAAGCTCGGGATAAAAACAACCTTAATCTCAATCGTCATATGATGGGTCGTTTTCGTCGGCTCATCGACGAGTTGGAACTCCAGGAGCTGCCGCTTCACGGACGTTGCTTCACTTGGAGCAATGAGCGCGAGTCGCCCACGCTTGTTAAGCTCGACCGCGTCCTCTTCTCTGCGGATTGGGAGGAGCTTTTCCCCTCTTGCCTCCTCCAAGCGGCCTCTTCTGTCGCCTCAGTTCACTGTGCTCTTCTCCTTCATACCTGCGTCACCTCCCCAAAAGCGCATCGTTTTCGTTTTAAGGCCTTTTGGCCCAAGTTCGACGGCTTTTCTTCAAGTCGTGCAGGACGCCTGGCATCCCCCTGCCAACCTACCCCCTCTTGCTGCTCTTGCCTGGTGCTTCTCTACCACGGCTAAGCGCTTACAGAGCTGGAGTGACCGTCACATTGGCAGTGTTCGTCTACAGCTTCAGATGGCGAAGGAACTTGTCTTCCGGCCTCATGTTGCGCAGGAGAGTCGGTCTCTTTCCCCCTTGGAGACCTGGCTGCGGCGAGATTTAAAGTTGAAGTGTCTTGGTCTTGCCTCACTTGAGCGTACCATCACGCGTCAGCGTTCGCGTTTGGTCTAGCTTAAGGAGGGTGACACTAATACCAAGTTCTTTCACCTGCACGCCAGAGCTCGTAGGCGGAAGAACTTCATCACGCACCTTCGTGATGGTGACCAGCTTGCCATCTCCCATGATGCGCTGCAAGAGCTTGCCTCCTCTCACTTTTGCGCCACCTTGGGGACGAGCGTCGAGCGTGAACTCGCCCTAGACCTCCACTCTCTTGGCCTCTGCCCTGTGCAGCTTGAGGGGCTGGACTGTCCCTTCACAGAGGATGAGGTCTGGGCGGTGATTAAGTCCTTGCCCTCTAATAAGGCGCCCGGTCCTGACAGTTTTACAGGCTGTTTCTACAAGACTTGCTGCCCGGTGATCAAGGTCAAAATTCTGGTGGCCCTTAACTCCTTGTTCCTGACCAACGGCCAAGGTTTCACTTCCCTCAACGACGCCCTGATCTCCCTCTTGCCGAAGAAGGACGAGGCTGTTGACGTTAAGGATTTCAGGCCGATTAGCCTTATCCACAGCTTTGGGAAGCTGTTCTCCAAGATCTTAGCCTCTTGTCTCTCCCCTCGCCTGGACGAGCTTGTGGCGCCTAACCAGAGCGCTTTCATCAAGGGCCGCTCTCTTCATGACAACTTCCGCTTTGTCCAGCTTGTGGCAAGGGCGCTCCACGCCAAACGCGTTCCCCGACTTCTTCTCAAGGTGGATATTGCGAAGGCCTTTGACACGGTCAGCTGGCCTTTCTTGCTTGAGGTGCTAGCCCAGCTTGGCTTCAGTCAACGTTGGCGTGATTGGATCTCCCTCATTCTCAGTGCCTCCTCTTCCCGAGTGCTGGTTAATGGGGTGCCAGGTCCACGGTTCCCCCATCGGAGAGGTCTTCGTCAAGGAGATCCTCTTTCCCCCATGCTTTTCATTCTAGTCATGGATGTGCTCAATGCATTGCTCCGCAAAGCCTCTGACTCGGGTGGTTTTCTTCCCCTCAATTATCGTGCTATTCGACATCGTGCATCCCTCTACGCCGATGATCTAGTTCTCTTCCTTTCCCCCGTTCGGCAGGACCTTGAGTTCATCCAAGGCATCCTCTCTGTCTTCGGTGCCGCTTCCGGGCTTCGGACCAACTTCACCAAGTGCTCGATTACTCCGATCCGCTGATCCGCTGCTCGGTTCTTGACCTGGAGCTAGTTCAATCCTCTTTTCCTTGCTCGATCTCGGAGTTTCCCTACACCTACCTCGGCATTCCACTGTCAGTTCGCAAGCTGCCAAAAGCGGCCCTGAAACCGCTTGTGGATAAAGTCTCCCATCGGCTCCCCCCTGGAAGGGCCGTCTCACCACTCTGGCGGGTCACTCGGTTCTAGTCCAGTTGGTTCTCTCTTCCATTCCGGTCTATGTTTCTGTGGCGATCGGCTTGCCAAGCTGGGTTATCAAAGCCATTGACAAGAAGTGTCGCGCCTTCTTGTGGACGGGTACGGACTCGGCCAATGGGGGACAGTGCCGGGTGTCCTGGATGAGGGTTTGCCGTCCTAGGGATCTCGGTGGACCGGGCATTCCGGATCTCAGGATGGCTGGCTTTGCCTTGAGTGTTCGCTAGCTCTGGCTTCAGCGCTCGGGGCATCCCTACTGGTCTGATCTGAAGGCCCCTATTAAGCGGAGCGTCTCCGACATGTTTGTAGCATACACCTTCTCTATCCTGGGAGATGGTCAATCCAAGCTCTTCTGGATTGACCGGTGGATCGATGGTCGCTCGATAGCTTCTATAGCTCCTGACCTCCTCCACGCCGTGCCTCCACGCTTCCGGGGATCGCGCACGGTTGCTACTGGGTTAGCGAACTACTCCTGGGTTGGTGACATACGTGGCGCCCTCACTGTCCCGGTCATCTCTCAGTTCCTGTTAGTCTGGGACGCGGTGCTTCCTACCCAGCTCTCGCCGGGTGTTGAGGATCACCTCGTCTGGAGTTGGACGGGTGACCAGTGCTACTCGGTGTGATCGGCGTATCGGGCGTTCTTCCTTGGCCAGCACTCTTTTGCCTGTGCCGACCTACTCTGGCACGCGAAGGGCTCTGCTAAATGCAAGTTCTTCCTTTGGTTTGCATTTCAGCAGCGCTGCTGGACTGCCGATCTTCTCCAAAAGCGTGGTATCGATAGCCACTCTGCTTGCCCCTTTTGCACTCAGGAGTTTGAGACGGCGAACCACATCCTCATCGATTGCGTGTTCGCTCGGCAGGTCTGGCTCCGTGTGATGTCCCCTCCTGGCTGGGCTGCCCTCTCTCCCCCTCGTGGCAGCTGGCTCCAGGATTGGTGGTCATCCTCCAGGGCCTGTTTACCTGAGCACCTCCGCAGCGGCTTCGACTCCTTGGTACTCCTAGTCTCCTGGCAGCTGTGCAAGGAACGAAACTCCAGGGTTTTCGACTCTGCGCTCGCTTCGGTTGCAGTCGTTTTGGAGTCCATCCACTCGGAGGGCCAGCTGTGGTCTTTAGCCGACATTGCTTTTTTTGGGGATTTCTTGGAGTGTAGCGTGCCTCTACCCCCTCCCGCTGTTTGGAGTTGTGTTTTTAACCGTCGTAGTAGTTTCTCGCTTCAAGTTTTCTTTTTACTTTGTTCCCCCTCTTTAGGCATAAGCCAGTCTGGCTGATTGCTTTGTGTAACAAAAACTCTTTTCATGCTAATATATTGACGAGCAATTCTTTTGCGCGTTCGCTAAAAAATGCGCTGTGGCTCGAACTTTCACCGCATTGAGGACACTGCTCAGTATAGTCACTAGCTGATTAATCAAGCAACGCACAACTAATTAATTAGTGGAGTAGTAATTACCTTTGCTTGTCCAGTGCCGCGTTGAAGAACAGCATGTAGCAGCCACTTCTCCAGGCACGATCTGCCGTAAACATGTCCACAGGGAATGCAACTGAAAGAGGAAATGCATGCAATTAACATATATAAATTAAGGAGGACTACTATAGTACTATATATATAATTGATTAGTTATCAAATTAGTACTAATTAACAATCGATCGAGTAGCTCATCAATTGAGACGTGTCATGCATGCAGGAACGTATAGTACCAGATGCGATGGTCGCCGTTGCAGGTCCAGGGTTGCAGACAAATGCTGCAGGTCGGCGCCGGCGCCTCCTCCTCCTGCTGCTTATCAACTTCTTCGACCAGCTGCGTCGTAGCTTGGCCGCTGAGTCGCCGCCGCTTGTGACCACGACCATGTCCCTCTAGCTCCATCGTCGTCGCTACTGATGCCGTCTCATTATCCTTCTGCTCCGCCGCCGGCATCGACGACCATGGCCAAGAAACGCCCTCCCCGCCGGATCCCGCCGCGGCGCGGTGGCCAGCGTCCTTCTCCTCCTCGGCCGCCACATCGACGCGTGCCCCGCTGCTCCCTCCCGGCCGCCTCCGCGGCGTCGTCCCTACGTGCGGCAGTGCTTGACGATTGAGGGCGATTTAGTGCGGGATTAAGTGGGATTTGTTGGGGAAATTGATGCCCACTACACAAGGAACCGATTTTTGCAATTAATTTGGAGGAGAAACGATAGGGCAGGGAGATCAACGAAGGCGGCAGTGCTTGAGTTTCACGGGAGAGATGAACAGACGACGGACAGAGGTAGAAGAAGCTCCTAGCGAGCGGGGCCCGCCTGCCAGCGCACGGACAGCGAACGGAAGAGAAAGAGAGGGGGAGGATGAGGAGGATGATTTACGTCGGCCTCGTATGTCAGTAGGTCCCACACATATTTTTTGGTGAATGACAAATAGGTCCCACACATCCCTTCTTTCTATAAAGTTAATGCCAAAAGTTCAAACCTCATGCTTCCACATCATCATCAGTTGTGAATCATTGGATGAATGCATTAGATCGCTTCTTAGCCGTTGGATGGAACGCGGCATAGAGCCCAACCCATCAGGTACCGGGTGAGTCTCTTCACCTCCTCAGTGCCAAAATGTAGCCCACATGAACACATTGGCTCATCTTCATTCACATCTACATGTATCCGGCCCGTCAATCCGTATAAAAAGAGCTTTATGGCCGAACACCCCTTTAGTTGACATTACAATTTGTTAACTTATGTTAGACCATTTTGCTTCTTTATAGCTTACGCTTTGAATGTGCTATCTAAATTATCTACAAAATTTGGATAGGGCTGCTAAAAAGAATTTCTCCAAGAAAGTCATTTATTTTGTCCGTTTCTTCTTGAGATTGTACCTCCTATCTAACAAATTGATGTTAACCAAGTCCTGCAGCAACGTGCGGGGCATCCTCTAGTATTTTTTATTTCTAATACCACCTAAGCGCCACGTCAACGCCACGTGGAAAGGAGACCGAGTCAATACTGCCACGTAGGCGCACGTCAGTGAAACCGCCCTCCAAAACCGGTTTTGAGAGTTGGGGGTCGAGATATCCGGTTTCGTGGTTTAGGGTCACGGATTAGATTTCGATCACTTTTTCAGGGTCACAAAGTGAACTTATTCCAAGATAAAATTAGGTTTGGGCCCACCATAGTCTGGACGGGTGGGGAAACCGCTGCGAGTGCGACCCCCGCCGCCGTCGCCGGAGAAGAATGGGTGGGCGGGGCGGAGGAATACAGGCGATTCCCTCCATAATCTCCGGCAATAGCTACATGGATTTTTCTAGCAGGTTAGTGCTACCGCTCGTTCCCTCACTCTTCAGGGATATTCCAAAGGTAATTTCCAGATTTATTAAGGAAACCGGTATCATGTTTATATTCTTTTCTTATCCTCTTTTTGCTAAAGAAAAGATAATTTTGCTTTGTTGACTCCAAGTCTCCAACTCGGGTCACCCAAGTCTTCGCGGTGCTTAACTTGGCCAAATTGTTAGGTGCCTGAAGCATTTCGCCCGGTTTGGAGAACGAGAGTAGCTCTGTTTGCAGAGTATCGATCACTGTTCCTATGCAGTGATGGGGCTTCAAATTTTGGATTCTTGTGTTTTAAGCCGGATTTTATTGCTGCTTGATTCCTGCAGTTATGGAGGCTTGGCTTCTGATCAGGTGCAATGCCGGCGATCTGAGCTGGTGGAGTATACCAACGTAAGGGTGCGCAGATGGATGTGTAGCTGGAGATCGTGCGGGTGCTGTACTGCAGCAATCGGGGCTACAGAGGATTGATATATTTGCCTAAACTTCCATGAACATCGGAAGCGTGTCATGCAAGGTCATGTTGGTGCTAGCTTGGTACTGCTATATGCTTCTTCTTTTTTCAAATCATTTGAGAATAAATTGATTAAAACAATCTACTCCAAAGGGCACAATGAACTGGTGGAAGAAGAGAAGCATCCTTTTCAAATTGCCATAATGGGAGCAATAGACAAACTGCATGGTACTTGTTCTATTTTTATGTTAAATATTAGTGACACATGTTACAAGATCATAAGTTAATTAATTTAGTGAACCTACTAGATTTTACCACAATATATATTGATGTATTTTCATTAGGAACAATCTGAATATATTATTCATCTAATGTAAAGATATAGCTATGGTTCTACGCAGTTAATTTCTGATTTTTCCCAAAATGTTATTTTGTATGGAAATAAAAATGAGGCTTGGTTTCTTCTCCGTTGCAATGATTCATTTCTTGCCAACATGGATTCCATGTGCATTATTGTACTCTGTTTATTTTTCATTTTCAACTTCAATGGAAAACTAAAATGAAGCTTGATTTTTATCTAAAATGGAAATTGACTTTTTTTGTATGCATATATGTGGGGACACCTAAATTAGGCCTGGTGCCCCGAAAATCCACTCGTGATCGTCCAGGATTTCGATTACGCACAGATTAATATACATAACAACTTTTGATTAATTATACAAATTTGATCATACAAGCTAATTATACAACTGTTAAAGGTTTAAAAGTTCCAAACTAACACATCCTTATTTGAAAATACAAGGAAGAATCCAAACTACCCAACTACTAACCTCCTAAACTACTAATTTACAACTAATAAACTCCATAGGCAAAAGCTCGAGTGTAGACAAGCCTAGAAAAACTCGTTGTTGCTTTAGACCTCACTATCTTCTGATCTTCTTGTTAGCACAATTCCTCTATATGTTAAATTATGCAAGAATGAGTACTTATGTACTCAACAAGGCATATTATAAATAATTAAATGTAGAGAGATATGAATAAATAAAACAATGAGAAAGTAAAAGAGTAGTAATAAAATCATATATCATTTTTGTGCTCAAAATTTTAGTTTTAAAACTACTTATACTTCAGGAGTATGAATCACCCTTATGACACAACTCCAAAATCGGGAGTACAGCGCATTCGAATGATTTAATTTCACCTCTGTAGATACTATCTAGCTTTACCCACACGATGCCCACAGCTAGCTAGAGGCTGAGAATAACAGAGCCGTTCGAAGGTCCCACTTACTACTAGTTAGTGCACAGTGGGGTTTTGGCCCATCATAGTAGTTGAACTCTTGCTAGGCCTAAGCAAGGTTACTTTATCATCATACTTTCATGGGACCCACTGTTGTGAAGCATGCAGCCCAAACTCCTTACGCACGTTCACCCCAAAACCTGCTCCTAGTGAGCCAACCAACAGTCTTTCATATAGTGGGACAATATACTAGGCTAAGTCCAATTACTTGATCGTGTGGATGGACACAAACTATGTAATTTCCATGGTATAAGGGGGTAATTATAATCCGGTTAAACCACCAAAATTATCTCAACATCCAAACTTCCATACCAACAAACTTCATCATTCATAAACATTCAACATTCACAATCCTCAACATTCACGACCTCAACTCATAAATGCCCATTATAACCGGATTCTTATGTTTTTAAAGATGTTTGAAATAGTAAACCACATAAAATGATAACCAATGCATCTTTCTATAACCTCATGCAATAATGCTTGAAATCGTTTAACATCTACCCATGAGATGTTAAAAGAGTAAGGTATTATGCATCAAATTAAATATGAAGATTATAATTAGTTTTCTATATGATCAAAATTTTAGTTATGTCTTGCCTTGTGCCCCGAGGTTTCCTGCGGCTTCAACGTAGCTATCTGAGTCCACGTCAGCTCCTTGGATGTCGATAGATCTTGCTGTACAGTCTAACGTATGAATACCAAAAAGATAGCAAATAAAGCCTATAAGAAAAATGCTACAAAGAAACGATAAACCGAGAAATAAATAAAATTGGAGCAAGGCGAAGGAAAAAGGAATGGTTCAAAATATATTTTAATTTGAAAACAAAAGAGAGGTGATGGTTTCTATAGGTTGGGAATCAAATAAAATTGAAGAAAAGGTAATTTGGATAGGTGGGGTTTATTTGGTGGATTTGGTTTCTAGTCGGTGCTAGAGTAGGGCAGCACAACGGCTAGATATTTGGAGTTGGTTAGCCGATGCTAAGGTTGGGGAGCATCACGGCTAAATATTGGCTCGTCTAGTTGATGCTACAGTCAAACAACACAACGGCTAGAGAGTTGGGAAGTTTGTGCCGGTTTGTGGGGCGGAATAGTGTTACTTTACAGCTGTGAGTTGTAGCAAAGCTGCTAGGTTCGCACAGAGCCCGAAAGCTAGTGTGCGGCGTGCTATGGAGGTTGATGGAGTAGTGAGGCTCCAACCACTGTACGCGTTAAGGCGTGGGGTGCGAGGAGCAATACTTTGACCTTGGGATTAGCTTATGCCGGGTTTTACGACCAACGGTTTGACATCGGGGTTTGAGACCACGTGAATGTCTCCATGGAAAGCGTAAAGTTCTCACGGCGGCTGTTTAGTGGCTATGGGATGGTATAGGTATGGTTTAGAAATAAAAAGGGTATTTAAATAAATCAAAGGAATTTGAATTCAAAAAGGTTTTTAATTAAAGAAATTTGAATATTCAAAAAGGGTAATAAAGAATTTTGAAATGGTATTTTAAATCATAAAGATATTTAAATGACGAAAATGTATTTAAATAAATTATAGGAAAATTTAATTTAAAAGGGGTTTTTAAATAAAACAAGAGATTTAAATTTAAAGGTATTTAAGATAAATAAAATAAATTAAAAAGGTATTTGAATAAAATATAATAATTTAACAAGGTTATTTAAAACAATTTTAAATTCAGAATGTAAATAAATAAAAGGTATTTAAATAAATAAAGAAATTTAAATAAAATGTTTAAAATAGGTAATTTGGTATCAAAATAAAGAGTTTGGAATTAGATGAATTTAGATCAAAGAATTTCTGGGATTGGGTTTGTGGTTGAAGAGATATGGGTGTCTAAAGTTTGAAATTGAAATAAAATCAAATAAAAGATACTGTTTATGTGGGACCCACTATCAGATGCTCCTTCTTCCTCCTCTATTTCTTCTTCTTCTCTTCTTCTTTCTTGTGACACAGATAGGGGAGGGAGAAAGGCACGGTAGAGGAGGACGGTGGCTCCATGTTGATGCGAAAAACACACACTGGCCTAAGAGATTTGCTTGAGTCTAGTGTAGGTCCGAATCTTGCTTTTGGGTCAAAGGGCGTGCCAGTTGGTTTGATCCTGCAACTAACAAGAAACAAACAAGGAAACATAGTTAAATGCATAAACGATAGCCGATCGACCACTTGCCGATGACGTATCGTTTGTAGACTAGCCGATATAACGTGAATTAGATCGGCAATGGTATATAAAACATAAAGAAAGTTAGATCTAGTCGATCGGCTGTA